CCCCATTCCTGCCTTTCCCAGCTCCCAGACCCCACTTCCCTCAACACCGGGGACCTCTAGACCCCCTTTTGTGGGCCCAGGGACCCCCTGGATCCCATCCTGCCTCTCCCAGTCCCTTCCTTGAACCTTAGACCCTTCTGACTCTCCCAGTTCCACTTCTGACCTTGGATGCCCCCAGCTCCCCAGTCTCTGTGTTCCCCCCATTCTTCACTTCTGGCATGTCTTGTGGAAGGGCTCCAGGGAGTCCGGGAGGGTCCCAGAGGGATTGTGGACCCTGGGACCCCCCTGAATTTCCAGTTCTGGGCACTGGCAGCTCCCTGCACCCCCTTATCCATTACCAGTTCCCCTTTGCCTGCCTCCTTTTCCCATCCATTCTGGCTTCCCCAGTCCCCAGACCCCCCTTTTCCTTGTCTCTGAGCCCCCATGGCCCCCATTCCTGCTTTTCTCAGCCCCCAGCCCCCCCTTACCTCTACATCAAGGACCCCTGAGCCTCCTATTCCCAGGTCTGCCCACCTTGTGCCCCCTCTTTCCTTGGCACTGGGGACCCCTGGATGCCCTTTCCTGGGCACAGGGATCCCCTGGAACCCCCATCCCGCCTCTCCCAGTCCCTGCACGCTCCTTCCGTAGCCCTGGATCCCTCTGAGCCCTCATTCCTGGACACCAGGACCCCCCTGCACGCCCTTTCCTGTCCATCCCAGCTCTCCCAGCTCTGCACAACCTTTCCTTGGCCCCAGCATTCCCAAACCCCTTCCCAGCTCTCCCAGTTCCCCTTTCACTGATCCATGACCCCCTCAACCCCCCCAAATCTCTGTTTCCCCCCAGTTCTCCACTCCTTGCATTACCTGGATGTGGCGGTGTCAGAGCCCAGCCCGGGGGTCCCCCAGTTCATGTCCATTGGGTTTGTGGATGGGATCCCCTTCACGCGCTACGACAGCGAGCGGGGCCGGGCGGAGCCGCTGACGCAGTGGATAAAGGATGGAGTCGAGCCGGGATATTGGGATGGGCAGACCCAGATCTGGGAGAGGAACCAGCACGTGGCTGCCAGGGACCTGGAGACAGCGCGGGAGCGGTACAACCAGAGCGGGGGTGAGTGGGGTCTGTGGGGCTGGGATGGGATCTGTGGGGCTGGGGTGGGATCTGTGGCGCTCGGATGGGATCTGTGGGGCTCGGATGGGAACTGTGGGGTGGAATGGGGATCTGTGGGGCTGGGATGGGATCTGTGGGGCTGGGATGGGAACTCTGGGCTAGGATGGGATCAGTGGGGCTGGGATGGGATCTGTGGGGTGGAATGGGATCTGTGGGGCTGGGATGGGATCCATGGTGTAGAATGGGGATCTGTGGGGCTGGGATGGGATCTGTGGGGTGGAATGGGGATCTGTGGGGCTGGGATGGGAACTGTGGGGTGGAACGGGATCCATGGGGATTGAATGGGATCCATGGGGATGGAATGGGACGTGTGGGGCTGGGATGGGATCTGTGGGGATGGAATGGGATCTGTGGGGCTGGGGTTGAATCTCTGGGGCTGGGATGGGACCTGTGGGGCTGGGATGGGATCTGTGGGGTGGAATGGGGATCTGTGGGGCTGGGATGAGATCTGTGGGGTGGAATGGGATCTGTGGGTCTGGGATGGGAACTGTGGGGCTGGGATGGGATCTGTGGGGT